TATTTTTTTTTTTTTAATTATAAATTACTTCTCAATTGACAACACTGATTAAGAAATAATCATATTTCCCATATTTAGTAGTGTCAGGTTCGGACTGAGTTGGCCTGGATATTGAGCTTTAACTGCTCTGCTTGTTAAGAACTGGGTTTGTTTCGAATGCGTGTTGGTAAACATCATCAGACACCTGTCCGGTAAACCTCAGGGTCTAACATGTCATCTGAGCTTTTGCTAGCATTGTGGTATTTGCTCTACAGAGCCAACGAGACTCAATGAGAAAACACAGATGAGTCTTTGTCTTCAGAAAGCTGAGAAGATTCTCCATGTGTGATTGCTATATTTAGGACAAGCCACAACATATATCAGTCTATTTATATTCTCTACACCTACATCCCGTTGGGAACATTGCTCAAGTCAACGCCAGGAAAAACACACCATGACACAGCAGTCCTGAAATACAAACACCTCAAGAACATCTGAACTTCCTTCAAACAGTCGCAGAAGCCAACAGACCATCACAAAGATCGGTTCAGCTGGACAAATGTAGTTCAAGTTTTGGGTTTTGCCTCTGCAGGACCTGCCTCTGGTATTTTTTGTGGATAAAGATCTGGGCTGGTGTCCAAAAGGTTGTACATTTGAATTCTGCAAAGACTGATCTCAGGTTACTCACCTCAGGAACCTACAAAAAGTGTCCCTTTAGATTAAAATGTCAACAAAATGAATATTAATAAATCGATGCATCGTGATTCGTGGATCGGTTCTGAGATTTTCGGAATGCATCGTGATTCTCTCTCGAATCGATTCTGAGCTTAGTTTTTAACAGCAGATGGCGCTCTAGGCTAGTTTTTAACCACACACTCAAATGTTCACGAAGAAGAGCTCTTGTGCATACGGCTGAGTAATGTAAGTGTTTAAATGTATTTGCACATCGGCTTTTATGCTCTTATGATGCGAGATTAATGTAAACACAGCCCACTGTGAACATCCTTGTAGTTCGCTTCAACCTTTTCGAATTTTATGAATGATTATTTTAGGTTCAAATGGTGCGTGTGTAAGGAACTGGAAGCAAGCAGAATACGGCTATTTCTAAAGCACGCAGTGTCATCTGCTGTTAAAAACTAAGCTCAGAATCAATTCAAGAGAGAATCGCAATGTCTTCGGAAAATCTCAGAATCGATGCAGAATCATTTCTCAATTCACGATGGATCGATTTATTGTCCCAGCCCTAGATTTTAGTAAGGCTACACTATATATCTGTATATCGGTTGGCCATATTGGTTATCGGCCAAAATTAGAAATGTTTTAATTAGATATTTAATTTTTAACCACTTTATATTTTAAAACATTTATAATTTAACACTGTAAAATGTAATCTCATAATTTAACACTGTATAATATAATCTTATAATTTTACACTGTAAAATGTAAATGCAAATCTCAAAATGAATATAATTTTTTCATACCGTACATTACGTTTTAATGTTGAACTTACTTGTAGAATATAATTGTGACGAGTGGGGCGGGGCCGAGAGCTGTGGGAACGGAGCGAGGCCGGTGGAGTAAGTGATAATGCACGACACCTGCGCCACTCTCTAGTCCCACGGAGGAGCTCTGGAAGGATAAAAGGAGGAGTGACGACAGTGAAGGACGAGAGAGGACCAGGCCTGGATTTATGTTGTTTTGGTTTTGTTTGTGTGTGGCAGTCGTCCATGAGGGGCAGTTGCGCTATTTTGTGTTTATTTTATTATTAAAGTTTTGTTTAAACGTTCACCGGTTCCCGCCTCCTTCTTCCTGAACTACGAACTGTTACATTGGTGCCGAAACCCGGGAGGAAGGAGGGACACGCTGCCAGAGATCCCTCGCCACGGTGGTGAATCCGCGGTGCTATCGAGCATGGCGGAGCAGTCTGCCGCCATGGAAGCTCGAGGCGGTGGGCTGGAGTGCGTTATCGGGGGGGCGGACGAACTCGCTGTCGTCCGCCTGGGTTGTGGAGGGACGGCTGCCGTCTGTGAGGGAGCGGAGGAGTCGCCGCCATTCGCCTGAGGCCGGAGCCTGCTGACATCCGCCATGATGGGGAGGAGCAGGGAACGGGGGACTCCTGCCGTCTGCCCCGAACCTGGAGGAGCCGGCACCGTCCACCGGGTGGCAGAGGAGTGTCGGGCCGTCCACCGAGGATTATCCAGTGCCGCCGCCAGGCATCCTCTCTCGTCTCTGTCTCTCCTCATCCTTCTGTCTCCTTTTCTCTCGCCTCGTCTGTCTGTCCTTACCCCCAGGTACGCTGCGGCTGCCGTGATCGGCTCCCTCGGAAGGGGGGGGGGGTGGGGTAGAGCGCAGTCTTGTGGGGACCCCCCGGCCTGTGGGGGGGGATGGGGGTAGGTGGCGCGGACGAACTCGCTGTCGTCCGCCTGGGTTGTGGAGGGACGGCTGCCGTCCGTGAGGGAGCGGAGGAGTTGCCGCCATTCGCCTGAGGCCGGAGCCTGCTGACATCCGCCATGATGGGGAGGAGCAGGGAACGGGGGACTCCTGCCGTCTGCCCCGAACCTGGAGGAGCCGGCACCGTCCACCGGGTGGCAGAGGAGTGTCGGGCCGTCCACCGAGGATTATCCAGTGCCGCCGCCAGGCATCCTCTCTCGTCTCTGTCTCTCCTCATCCTTCTGTCTCCTTTTCTCTCGCCTCGTCTGTCTGTCCTTACCCCCAGGTACGCTGCGGCCGCCGTGATCGGCTCCCCCGGAGGGAAGGGGGGGGGAGTAGAGCGCAGTCTCGGGAGTACCCCTGGCCTGCGAGGGGCGATGGGGGTATGTGACGAGAGGGGCGGGGCCGAGAGCCGTGGGAACGGAGCGAGGCCGGTGGAGTAAATGCTAATGCACGACACCTGCACCACTCACCAGTCTCGAGTCCCACGGAGGTGCTCCGGAAGGATAAAAGGAGGAGTGACGACAGTGCAAGATGAGAGCGGACCAGACCTGGATTTATGTTGTTTTGGTTTTGTTTGTGCGCGGCAGTCGTCCATGAGGGGCTGTTGCGCTATTTTGTGTTTATTTTATTATTAAAGTTTTGTTTAAACGTTCACCAGTTCCCGCCTCCTTCGAACTACGAACTGTTACAGTAATATTTTTTCAAATTAGTATTGTGTTTCATGCTTATTGTTTAATAATTTAATAACAAAGAAAAGGTACTAAAAGAGGCAAAGTATTTATTTTAAATGTTTTTTCTTTAATTACAACTAACCCTAAATTTTAAAAACCTTAAAAAAGATTTAATAAAGGGTCAATTTTTCTAATGGATTCAAAAATAAATAAGATGAATAAATAAGCTTCCCATTGATGTATGGTTTGTTAGGATAGGACAATATTTGGCTGAGATACAACTATTTGAAAATCTGGAATCGGAGTGTGCAAAAAAAAAAAAAAAAAAATATTGAAAAAATCGCCTTTAAAGTTTTCCAAATGAAGTCCTTAGCAATGCATATTACTAATCAAAAATTAAGTTTTGATATATTCACGGTAGGAAATTTACAAAATATCTTCATGGAACATGATCTTTACTTAATATCCTAATGATTTTTGGCATAAAAGAAAAATCGATAATTTTGGCCCAAACGGTGTATTGTTGGCTATTGCTACAAATATACCCGTGCTACTTATGACTGCTTTTGTGGTCCAGGGTCACATATGGTATATACATGTAACAAATATAAAATTTCTGGCAGATACTTATATTCTGGCAGATAATTATTTTCAAGTTATGGACCATAACCGAAAAATAACCAATAATTACAATTTCAAACTATTTTATCTGAAATAAAATAAATTAACTGAAAATTAAAATCCATTATTTTAAATATAGGCTTAATATAGGAAAGAGGTAGAAATCCCAAAGCTGATGGGGGCCCTTGACTAAGCTCTTGGCCGATCGAAGCGTCTCCAACATGAACTTGCGTGCAGATTGTGATTGTAACAATCAGGATCATGTAACAATCATGACGCCGACCTCATGCCCTCCTTGACCCGGTTCCGTACGAACTGGCGTCCAGCCAGTTGGTCCTTCAGCACTTTTGCCATGTATATGGAAGGATACAGAGCTGTACTCCACAGCCACTGCAGTTCGTTGTTCCTTTTCACCTCCAAGTCCGGACAGTGTCCCGTGTAGCTTTTATTTTTGTAATTGTGATTGTAACAATCAGGAAAGAGGTAGAAACCCCAAAGCTGATGGGGCCGTAAGCTCTTGGCCGATCGAAGCATCTCCAACATGAACTTGCGTGCAGAAAGCTCGAAATCTTGCTGGGCCACTTTGGCCACCTGATCTTGAGGCCAAGTTGGGTTTTTCTCAGCAACTAACCGTCGCGAACGATCGCGGTAAATGTCTTTAGTGCCCCAGTTATGTATCCAGTTACGTATCCAATACCACAAGTTTAGTCCTCACAATTATATAGCATAAAGGATAAAAATGGATATTCATTTGGAGATCTGCTAAATATTACATTCACCAGCATTATTAAATTAATAAATATTTTTTAAAAGATTAACTTTCAGTGAGCATCAGATAAAATAAAAGGTAATCTAAATGTAAAAATAGAGCAAATAACCATAAGAAACAATTAATATCACCCGATATCGATAAATTAAAAACAAAAACTCTAGTACTGCCCGATAACTAACATGTTACCAATATGTTGTGCACGACTACTTATAGTTCAGGTCAACTTTAACAAACAAGTGCCCATGTTTCCACTCTTTTTGAGGAAAATCAAACACTGCCACACCAAGTGTCATCTTACGAAAATCTCACCTCTGTCAGCAGCAGGAGTTCAGGAGGGTTGCCGTTAGAATTTGGAGGATTGTTTTGGTAAGTGGGACGCGTGTAGATAAACACAGGCCTGGCTGACCCGTTACCAACAGACGCCAACCTCATGCCCTCCTTGACCCGGTTCCGTACGAACTGGCGTCCAGCCAGTTGGTCCTTCAGCACTTTTGCCATGTATATGGAAGGATATAGAGCTGTACTCTCCATCCACAGCCACTGCAGTTCGTTGTTCCTTTTCACCTCCAAGTCCGGACAGTGTCCCGTGTAGCTTTTATTTTTGTAATTGTGATTGTAACAATCAGGAAAGAGGTAGAAACCCCAAAGCTGATGGGGCCGTAAGCTCTTGGCCGATCGAAGCGTCTCCAACATGAACTTGCGTGCAGAAAGCTCGAAATCTTGCTGGGCCACTTTGGCCACCTGATCTTGAGGCCAAGTTGGGTTTTTCTCAGCAACTAACCGTCGCGAACGATCGCGGTAAATGTCTTTAGTGCCCCAGTTACGTATCCAGAGGGGCCGCCACTCTTCCCAGTCGATCACAGCAAGACCTTTCACTGTCGGGTCCTTGATGTACTTCTTGAGCCCTTCCGGCATCCGTTCTTGGTGTTGCGTGAGACTGGCGACCTGCGGTAGGCCGCCGTTGACTGGAGTGCCGTCTGGCTCAAAATATGGGTACAAACCCAAACGGTCCTGATAGAAGATGGTGAGATTTTGCTTGGTGAAGCCCTCGTTTGGTGACGCCACTATTTGGAATTGATCCAACTGGAAGGTGACGTCATGTCGAGGTCTACAGTCTTCTGTAGGGGCGTTCCAGGCCAACAGCAACGGCTTGCCGGAATACAGCGGCCATCTAGTGTTTTTTAACTGCTGTGCTTTTAAACAGGTCCAAAAGAGCATCAAAAACAAGAGTCGCAGCCAGGAGACCCACTGAGGTCGGGTCGCCCCAAAGAGACCAGTGATGTTTCTCATTTCAGACCTAAGAATACAGCAAACCACTACAATTAATACAATTTCAAACTCCCTTTGAGTGTTCTAAAGCATGCTAAAACATTGTTTAATGTGCAGTTGGTTCATTTGGTACATTATACATATATTAGAACAAATACAATTATGAATTTTGCACAATTTCATGATAAAATTCACTGTATATTTAAAGAACACATTTCATGAGAACCGAACCTATGACCTTGGCTTTGTTAGAACCATGCTCTACCAGCTGACTTACAAGTTTAAAAGTAAAAAAGTTTGGAAGGAACTTTTGAGGGAAGGAAGGAAATATGACTATTAATACAAACAACCACTTGCATAATGACATCCTCTGCAAGCATTAAAATAGTCATTATTAATTCATTGTAACATTATCAACATACTTACACAAATAAACGAGAACATTTACATTCAGGCATTGACCAAACTTTTGTCAAATGCTTCTAAAATATTTTTTACAGTACATGTGATCGCTGGGAATCGAACCCATGCCCTTAGTATGATTAGAACGCAGTTCTGGCAAATAAGAACAAAAGAAAACAAACAATAAGCACTCATATTTTGAGCATTCCACAGAACTTTTAAACTTTGTTTCAAACATACGATTCAGGATCATCGTTCAGTGTTGTGCGTTACAAAAGCGCTTCCGCTTCACATTCTAGGAACAGTACACAAACTAACTGTAATCTGTTAGAGGAAACACAGACCTGTATAGATCAGACTGAACCCGTCCAGCACACCGGTCCGATCACTCATAAACTACCACGTAGCCTCCACCCACACATCCAGCGGATGCCAACACCTCATAACTATAAAGTCGCAATCGCTATTTCAAAACAATCTATTATCATTGTTTCCTCGTCTTTGAAACGCCCCGTTCGCGTTCAGTGAGTAGCGCTGGTGCCCAGCTGGCTCATCTGGATCAGAGACGGAGCATGTGAGGATTACGGCCCTCAGATTGATAAATGTAGTTGTGGATAGAGGGGTGCAAGTTGGTATATATGACGCAATCTGCTATTCTGTAACATTACATTTTGAGCCCACTCGATGTAACTAACACCATATAATATTACCGATCAAGTCTATATAAAGTGCTGAAGTCGTTACTTTGGGTGTACAAGCAGTAGTTCTCTTAAACATGCCCCCTGTCCCCCCTACATGGAGAGTTGGTTTAGTCCGAATTTCTCCGCTGGGGATGAAGAAGCGTTTCTACTGAACCGAGCTGAGAGACCTGCAGGAGTCCAGAGAGCCATTATACACATATCACATTTCATTCCGAAATCATTCGGAGAATGAAATTCTGTCTTTTCCTTCCTTTGCTCTCTTTATTATTTTCCACATTATGAGGGTAAAACTACATACAGCATGACTAAAGACCGACTAGCAAAAAGTACTGAGGTAGCCTAATATTACTGTTGTTTTTGAACACGGTACCATTATAGTAGCCTACTATGTTTTTTTAAAGACGTGTATCACGTTAATACCATGTTTCTGAACAGGAATCATGGTAATACCATGGTACTTTTTGAATTACATTATCATAAACTTAATTGATTTTATTAGACTACTCTGGAAAAGCTTAAATACAGCGAAGTCAGTTAGCTTTAAAAGTAACTACAAACATTTTAGAGCATCAGTACATTAAAACTGCTAAATAAGCCAAAAATCATCAACCATCTATACTGACTCACCTGAAACTGATGACATATTTGTGAATGAACCCAGACAATATCTCACCATCCTCTGCACGCAAACACATTTCACCACGAGTAACCGATTAACCCACTTGCTCTTTACGGTTGCTAATGTTTCAAGAACAAAAGCTCATTCAGCCTCAAACTATGAATCCCTATAGGACGCCTACAGAACATAAAGGCCTCCAGGAAAGACCTCGTTTCCATGTGTTACAGGGAAGATGGGGGTAATGACATGTCGCGGTCAGTGCTAAAGGAGTTCTGAGGTCTACATTAGTGGAAAAGTGAAAGGGGCGGACAGAAGGAAAACCACCCACAGCTGCAGGCCAAAGGGGTCACCTTTGATGTTGCCTTTGAAGGGCAGATGTCATGAAAACGTCACAGCTGGAATCAAGATAGTTTCGATACTTCATCTAGAACTGAAAATATGCTTTGGTGAGTAGTACGAGTGCATTTCTCCCTCAAATGACGAATGCGGTTTGAATGTTTGCTTCTGTCCGCAGCAGGAGGCAGACATTCCGGACGAGTCCCCGCTCCGGGCGGAATACCTCAATACTAAAACACATCTTGTACTAATAAAGGACTGTAAGAGCCAACACAGACCCTTACAGCCTCTTATAAACAGAGGACAGATCGTACAGCTGCAAGTGATTTTCACCACTAATGTCTAATTACGTGAGGTAAAAACATGAAAAAACTCTCCATCTGACTTTGACAGGTGTTTGTTCCTTAATGTTCAAATTCTTTCTCTCACATCTTCGGAAGTGTCACGGCCACTGTTTTTATCGTTAATTAAAACTAAAACTAAAAACATAACCATAAAAAAATCATTATTAAAACAAAATAAACATTACCTGAAATGAAATAAAACATTATTATTCACTAAGTTTAACTACAAAAATAACTAAAACTTAATAAAACATATTTAAAAGAAATCCAATAAAAAAAACTGACAAAACCACACAACAAAATTACTACAATTTTAACTAAAATAAAACCTGAAAATATAAAAATCAAATCAAATTCCAAATAATATCAAAAACGATAATAATATATCAATGTACAATGCCGTACCAGGTGCGCTACCGAGCAAGTTTACTATAAAAAACCCCACAGATATGGAATTTGTTATGCAGTGCACACATCAAAATGTTTAAGTTTTAAATTCATGCACTATGGTAAAAGTGTTGTGCGCTCATAACATAATAGTGTGCAAGGAACTGCACAAAGTCTTTATTTATCAATAATCTGGCCTGTAATCATAATTTGTGTGAAAGCGAAAAAAAAAAGTGAGTTATTGGTGTTTGACTGCCTCTAGTGTTGGTACTTTTTGAATTATATTATCATAAACTTAATTGATTTTATTAGACTACTCTGGAAAAGCTTAAATACAGCGGAGTCAGTTAGCTTTAAAAGTAACTACAAACATTTTAGAGCATCAGTACATTAAAACGGCTAAATAAGCCAAAAATCATCAACCATCTATGCTGACTCACCTGAAACTGATGACATTTGTGAATGAACCCAGACAATATCTCACCATCCTCTGCACGCAAACACATTTCACCACGAGTAACCGATTAACCCACTTGCTCTTTACGGTTGCTAATGTTTGCTAATGTTTCAAGAACAAAAGCTCATTCAGCCTCAAACTATGAATCCCTATAGGACGCCTACAGAACATAAAGGCCTCCAGGAAAGACCTCGTTTCCATGTGTTACAGGGAAGATGGGGGTAATGACATGTCGCGGTCAGTGCTAAAGGAGTTCTGAGGTCTACATTAGTGGAAAAGTGAAAGGGGCGGACAGAAGGAAAACCACCCACAGCTGCAGGCCAAAGGGGTCACCTTTGATGTTGCCTTTGAAGGGCAGATGTCATGAAAACGTCACAGCTGGAATCAAGATAGTTTCGATACTTCATCTAGAACTGAAAATATGCTTTGGTGAGTAGTACGAGTGCATTTCTCCCTCAAATGACGAATGCGGTTTGAATGTTTGCTTCTGTCCGCAGCAGGAGGCAGACATTCCGGACGAGTCCCCGCTCCGGGCGGAATACCTCAATACTAAAACACATCTTGTACTAATAAAGGACTGTAAGAGCCAACACAGACCCTTACAGCCTCTTATAAACAGAGGACAGATCGTACAGCTGCAAGTGATTTTCACCACTAATGTCTAATTACGTGAGGTAAAAACATGAAAAAACTCTCCATCTGACTTTGACAGGTGTTTGTTCCTTAATGTTCAAATTCTTTCTCTCACATCTTCGGAAGTGTCACGGCCACTGTTTTTATCGTTAATTAAAACTAAAAACAAAAAATGCGGAAAAAATATTTACGTCAATTAAAAGAAATTCAATGTTAAAAGAAATAAATATAATATTAAAAATTTATTTTTATTCAAGTTAGTTGAGAAAGCAAAATTTCACATTTTGCTTAGCTAAAATTACTAAAACTAAATTAAAAATGATTAACTAAATAATTGTTTTTAAATGAAACAAATTCAAATGACTAAAACACAAAATTACTAACTTTAAATACAATGAAAATGAAAAATCCAAAATATTAATAAATACTACAATAGTATATTACTAAAATAACTCTGGTCAGTTCACTCAAAAATTTAATTGGACAATATTTTCTATGGTATACAATGAAATTGAATAGACACTGGAGATGCTGAGGTCTAAAAACTACATAAAAAGTAGTCCATGCAACTGTGCACTATATTTCAAGTATTTTGAAGCCATGTGATAGCTTTAATGTCATTGACGTTAAACTTTGCGCAAAATGTTGGAAAAATACCCAAGCACATTCGGGATTTCGCAGCTATGGCGAGGGGAAAACATGAAAGTGACTTAAAAAAAAAAAATTCTCACGCAAAACTATCATATGTCCTCAAAAGACTTGTAATGTAAAGCATGAGCCATACAGACTATTTTTAGTCCTATAGTATTTTTTTTTTCGGACCTCGAAAACTCCAGTCCCCATTTCCTTTAATTGTAAGGAAAAGTGCAGCTTGGACAATCTACTGAACTTCTCCTTTTGCATTCAATGAAAAAAGACAATCATATTTGTTTGAAAAGACATCATGGTGATCAAAAACTTTTATATATTTGTACACATACCATGTTTTTTCCATATTGTCCATATTACTATGGTACACTGTATTTGTTATATTTTTAAATGTAGCTTAAAACGCAACATATATTAATATTTAACATATTTTTCTTCAGAAAACTTAACACTCAAATGAACACTTTCTTTCTTAAGCCACTTCAAATGAAAGTTTCTACTCACTGTGGTGAAAGTTTATCTCTCTCCCAGCAGACAGACGTCCTCAGTTGTCTCTATATGTAGATGTACACCTGCTTCAGCTCGTCTGTCACTGAATGCACAGCTGATTTAAGAGAGACCCACAGTTTTGATCTGGGAGAGACCACACCCCTGTACCTCCTACACATTCCTGCCCATCTCACCCACCCGTCACCAGCCCCGGGAGCTCGGCCAAACTTTTGAACTTACCGTGATTGAGTGGTTTAGTCTGATCTCAGATCAGCCCCTGCGGGAGACCCCATGCAGATCCCAGTTCTGGTTGCCAGGGTGATGTAGAAGACTCCCACCTCTGTGCAGAGCTTAAGGTATAATAAACTAATAAATCATTGCGAAAGTAATGAAACTAGAGATGGTGGCAGAGATAGAGGCAACGAGAATGTTCATTAAAAAAATTTATAGCTAAAGAAATGAATAGTACTTATAGTAGAACATGGCACTAGCAACACTTAAGGTCATGAATTTCATTCCCAGGGGATATAAATACTGATAAAATATGTATAAAATAATATATGTTTAATATTATTCGAATGTTAATGAACATTTATTATTAATATTACAATTTATATTTATTCATTCCAAATATTTATTGTCCTATTTTAGTATGGAGAAGAGCAGCCTGAACACTCGGCTAAATAACTCCTTTTCTGCTTCACAAAAGGAAAGGATATGTTTCAGTCAACTTAACTAAAATAAACCCAAGGCAAGTATGTGAACATAAACACTTCTAGATATTGTTTTGAGTGAGCAATATTATAGATAGGGGACTCGTATTTTAGCTGGCAACAGACTTAGAAACATGCAGATTTTCGCTTCAGAGGATGGTAATTGATGGACTGGATTACTTATAGATTATTGTGATGTTTTTATCAGCTGTTTGGACTCTCATTCTGACGGCACCCATTCACTGCAGAGGAT